CCCATTAAATTCTGCTTATATTGAAGGTTTGTAAGAGGAACTTGCAACTCAAATCAAAAACTGGAACTTAACTGCGCTGCTATGCAACCGACCTCATGACCGAATTAATTACTGCCAGGCAGCTCTGGTGGGCTATTCAAAATGATACCAAAAGGAAACCCACACAAGCCCTAAATACTCAAATATAAGCAACCCAGATTACCAGCCTGCAATTACAGCAATTGACTAAACTTTCTTACCGAACTCTCCAGGCAAATCACCCCTTAAGGGATTGCCAGTACTACAAAAAGCCTTGGCATTGGATGAACTGCTTCAAACTTGAGAGGCTATGACAAGATTGTTAGCCCTCAAATTTCATGGCATCTTTCCCAGGAAAACAAGCCAAATTTCAACATTAGGGTTGCTCAGGGGCCCCACAGGGTTTTTATTTATTTGTTCTTCCACCCTCCAGATCAATCCTTTGGAGGAGATAGATTACGCTGTGGGAGATGAGGTGACCAAAGCTTGTGGACACTGGGCAACGCTGTCTGTCTTTAACCCCATCTGCCTCCTCAGAGTCCTGGAACTACTCAAGTGCTGAGAGTTTCTAATATACCTATAACTGTTTTAAAATCATTACCAGTCCCTTTTCAGACGGGTTTCATCCAAGGCACTCGCCAATTCATTTTAGTACCTCAGCAGCTATTCATCCTTTAGGATGAGATGTCCTTGAGGCCCATGAGGCACACATATCTTTTCCCAAAAGAGGGAAATATTTCCACATTTGAGCCTGATGAAACACCTCAAGAGGATTTCCTGCCATTCTTTCTCTGCCAGGTGATGAAAACTCTCATGACCGTTTAACACAGAGGAACCAACTTTTAACCCCTTGAATTGATAAACAGGAAGTGCCTCTCAAGAATGCTGAATTAGGGGCGCTTGGGCTTGGTTGGTGAAGCCTCTGACTCTTGATTTCAGTTTAGGGCGTGATCTCAGGGGTGTGAGATTGAGCCCCGAGTAGGCTCTGCACTCAGCGCCAAGTCTGCTTGTCCCTCTCCCTCTGCTCCTCCCCTGCTCACTTTCTTTCTCTCAAATAAATAAATAAATAAATAAATAAATAAAATCTTTAAAAAGAAAGAAAAAAAAAAAGAATGCTGAATTAATCTGGTTTACTGACAGATCCTACTCAAAGGTTGAAACCAGTCACTGCTGAGCCAGTGATGCCGTAATATCCTTAACTGAAACCACTGAGGCTAAACCCATACCAGAAGCCAGTTCTGCTCAGCAGGCAGAACTCTCTGGCAATATCTATTGCCTATTTTCTAGGTAAAAATAAGGCTGCTAACATCTATATCAATAGTAGATAGGCATCTGGTGTTGCTCGTGGTTTTTGTATGCTCATGGTTCTGGTATCTGGAAATAAAGGGGGTTTCTTGACTTCTGAACAGAAAATGAAAAAAAATTTTTAAGATATATTTGATCTTTAAATGCTATCCAACTGCCCAAATCTCTGGTGGTCATCAAAATTCCATGACACTCTAAGACAAACATGGAGAAAAGCAAAGGAGATCATTTGGCTGATTCAGCTACTATCCCAGTGCTTTAAGTCAGCCCCTACCCTATTATCACTTACCACCTGCAAAGTCCATGTCTCCTGAATTTGCTGACAAATTCGTTTGGCAAACTAGAAAGAAATGAACAGACTAGATTGTAAATTTGACCCCAGATGAAATCTATGGATAGGTTCTAACAATTTGCCCTGATTGCCTATAGAGATAGTCCTGCAATATATACATGATTTGACACATTAGAAAACCGATTAGATGGTCTCATGGGGTAAACAATACAACTTGAAGTCATCACCAAAAATTATCAGGGGTCCCTGGGTGGGTCAGTCATTAAACGTCTGCCTCCAGCTCAGGTCATGATGCCTGGGTCCTGGGATCAAGCCACATGTCTGGCTCTCTGCTCAGTGGGGAGCCTGCTTCTCCCTCCCTCTCTCTGCCTGCCTCTCTGCCTTCTTGTGATCTCTCTCTGTCAAATAAACAAATAAAATCTTTAAAAAAAAAAAAAAGGCTATTCCTACCTGGGGAGTCCCTGCTGAACTTCATATGGTTGGGGATCTCATTTTACTGGCCTAACCATAAACTCACCCTCTAACCCTGTTCTAAATTTCATAACGAATTACCTGCCACCCCTTTGCAAAAGAGTCTTTCAACTAAGCTCTGCTATCATAAGAAGCAGTCATCTGGCTGCTTGAACAAAACAGACCCCTGGTTTTCTCCTGTCTTACCTTCCATACCTACAGATGAGTCTATAGATAATCAGACTTGGAAATAAATATTTTGTGCTTCCCATATCCTATGGGATATATGTAGGCATTTGTCCATGCCTACAAGTGGCAACCTTGGACATTTTACTGCCTAGATGATGTAGTCTTTGAATGTTATTGAAATCTGGAGCCAATGGCCAGGAAACAATTCTTGAGATGTCTTTGGTGCAAACAAGTAATTTTATGAAAGCACAGGGACAGGACCTGTGGGCAGAAGGAGCTGTTGCACTGGGGTTGTGAGGAATGGTTGATCATATACTTGGGAGTTGGGGGAGGCAAGGAAAAAGGGAGGTGTCCAAAAGGACTTTGATATGCTATAGAAGACTCTCGGGATGCTAGAGGCCTTGCCACTGTCAAGCTAGGGTTGTTTTTTCTTCTAGTAAGTCATCAACCTTAAGACAGTTGGGAATTTCCTGGATTAATGTCATACTCTGCCCATCTCAGGTCCTTGTCAATGGGTGGCAGGTCAAGAAGAAACTTAATTTTGTTTACTTTCCTTTCTGCCTCGGTTTCCCACATCACTCAAGGAAGGGAGGGTGATGTTAGGGCTCCAGGAAACTGAGTTATGGGTCTCTGGGAGGTAGGATATTGATAAGAATGCTCTTTTTCTTGTAAATCACTAAGACATTGGTAAACTGATGGAGACTCATGTCTTGCAAGATGGTTATCTCTATTAAAACCATTTGTTTTTTCCTTCCCTTAGTTTTAGGGCAGTCAGGAACCAGGAGTGCCTGAGGAACACAGGCACTCCCACTTGGGGAGTGTCAGCCTATGCTTTGTCCTCAGCTTGCCTTCTGCTCCCTCATCATAGTCAGAGAATGACAGGACAGTGTCTCCTAGAATATCTAGTTTCTCCCTTCACTGTATTTCAGTTGGACACAGGGATCTCTCCTGCCCTAAAGATACTCACCATAGAAACAAGAGAGCTCTTTCCATTAAATGATTTCCATTAAATGACCTCCCAGATGATGACTCCTAAAAGTAGGAAGATCATCACTGTGGACAATTGCTATGGACATCCTGTATTATAGGATACAATCCTAACGAAGGTATGGATTTCCTTAGAATTTCGTGATCCTTTTTTTCTGGCAGGACCTGCCACAAATGAGGTCATGATTAGGAATCTGTCCTGGATGGTTAATAGAATAGCCAGATCCACTGTGAGGACCATTAGAGCACAATGGTCTCTAGATTCCCTTGCTTGAGTTGTACCAGATGACAGAAGAGCTTTGGATTACTTGCTGGCTGCTCAAGGAGTCTGTGCCATCCCCATGACTTCCTGCTGCACCTAGATTAACTCCTCACAAACAGGCTCAGTTGAAAACCACCAGAATACTTAAACTTGTCATCATTAAAAGAATTTTTTTTAGTCCTCTAAGTCTGTTTAAAGTTTTCTTTCAGTCCACTTTTCAGTGGACTCCCCACAGGACTTGGAGCCCTTTTAAGATCTGGATTACAAATAATCATATTCATTATTGTACTTACATGCTCCTTTTTAATTATAATTATATCAATGATGCTTTGTATTTCTCACTGTTGTTTAGCCATTCAAGATGTCAAAATTATGGTCACACGGAGGTTTAAAATGATCAACCTACTTCTAACCATTAGCAATCCCTGAAGACCAATCAACTCCGTGGACTTTTAAGATGAGGACAATGTCTAAGACTTGCCTCTTAAAAACCTCTTTGTTGCTGTGACTATATGCTCTCCATTACATTCATCATCTATAACATTTCATTTTCCCTCCTCTTTGGGACATGCATGACCTTTTAGGAATGAACCTTCTGAGCTAGGTGGATAACAGATGACCCAATGGTTGATCATCAATGCTTTCCAAGGAAAGATGTTGGTCAAAAAATATGAAAGTGGAAAACCTGGAATGGAATCACTACTGTCAGGAAAAGTGGAACCAGGAAGCTATTAGGGAAGTGGGGCTTATGTATGTCCATCTCTGCACAGAACATAGACTTTAAATATAGTTCGTTGCCAAACTGCAACATCTTGGCTTCTTGCAGCCCCGCAAAGAAAACTGGAAATTCAACGGAAATTAGACTCTCTTAGACAATCCTAATTTGGCAAAACAATTTATGTAAGTCTTCTTGGAATCCCCCCCTTTTTTTTTCACATTTTCCCTTAGCGGAGCACAATTTGGTTTTCTTCCCAAATCCAAGTCTCCCAAATTGCAATTCCTAAGACCCCCCCACTGAATTTGTGTTTGCCTTGCATCCTCGTTGCAAATTTTGACACAACTCAGATACAGGCTCACTTAATTTTATTCTGCAGTTGCAAGATATACGGTTTAAATTTTTGTCTTTTCAAATCTCTCGCGGTTCGCTCTAGACACAACCGGGAAAGGGTCGAAGAGGCTGGCTTAAGGGAAACTTCGGCCTTGCGAACGGAAGTGGGGGCTGGGATGCAGTGCTAGAAGCCTCCAGGGGGTGGGGTGGAGCGAGGTCAGGTTCCGCGCTGGGAGAACTCCCATTAAGTAGTTAGCCCAGCCTGGGGCGATTGAATCTGGGTGTGTCACCATGGAGATGGGGGCTGGCTTGCGTGTTCGGCTGCCATTGGCTGGGGACTCCGGGCTGGGCTGAGAGCCTGCTTTGAGTAACTGCATTGACTGGGCACACGGCTCCTGGCCAGTACAGCTCAGAGCGACTCCGCGGACCGCTTCCGAGAGGGGAAGGGCGGTCTCTTCCACAGGGGGGGCGGCGGCGGCGCCATGGAGAAGCGGTGAGAGGGCTGCAGGCCCGGGGAACCTGGGAGGGGGAACTGCTGTCACCGAGATGTGGAAGCCCGGTACCAGGGCCCCGAGGGGGCCAAGAGGGGGAACGAGTGCCCTGGAAATGCAGAGAGGCCTGGCGGGGAGCCAGGTGTCGCGGCCGCGCGGCGCAGCACTGGGGGGGCAGGAATCGAGCAGGGCTGGCGTCACGGGAGCATGAAGGGGACCCGTGTAGTGTAAGTACGGTGTAGTCTACTCGGGAAAGGAGCCGGTGTGTTTGTGTTGGTGTGCGCGCGCGCACTGAGATCCAAGTGTCACGGGGGCATACGCCCTGTCCCCCAGCCACGCGTACCGGGAAGAGGTCTTCCCACCCCGTGTGCTTTTCACAGATGTGCGTTGTAGAGTCTAGGTAAAGCTGCGAGGTTTTTTTTGGTGACCGTTTTCGGAGGAGAGATCCTGAAGTCCCACACAGCGCCTCCCTTCCCTTCAAATTGGAGATCCAATTAAAATAACTTCGAGTCCGGGCCCCTGACTGGCTCAGTCCGTAGAGAGTCTATGACTCTTGATCTCAAGAATCCTGAGTTCAAGCCCCACCTTGGGCGTAGAGCCTACTTAAAATTTAAAAAAAAAAAAAGTTTAAGACTTAATAAAATTTGAGAGAAAGAATGCGCGCAAGAACAGAGGGGGAGGGGTAGAGGAACTGGGAGAAGCTGAGTAGGGAGCCCTCGGGAAGACTCAGTTAGAGGACCCTGACATCATGGCCTGAGCCTCATGATCCGAAGTGAGACTCTTAACCGACTGAGCCACCCAGGTGCGCACCCCACTTCCCCCCCCCCTTTTTTTTTTTTAAGTAAGTTGGGGATGGAGTTTCCAAGGAGAGAAGGAAATCCTTACTTACTGAACTGAGCAAAAGATTGCCCATTCCTCCCGCCTCGCACCTTGGAAAACTCTGCTTTAGTCCCAGAAATCGCATTCCAAGTCACCAGCATTGGGGATCACAGTAGCTCTTGGATGCACCGAGATCCAGGGTGTTCTTGGGGGACTGATGGCCCATGAAGAAGTTGTATAAACTGTTGCTAGATATGCTAGATGTCCAGGGCTTCTCACTTTCATTTCTTTTGCACCTCTTGGGATTCTATTTGATGAACCGTTTCATTGCTTCTTTGCATCATCCTGTAGCCCCAGCCCCATTATCCACCCCCCCCCATCCTTTATCCAGTTACTACCCAGAGGGTAGCCTGTTCTATTGTAGAGTCATCTGGTTTCAAAGCCTTTGCTTTTAAAGAAAAGATTTCCTTTGAAGGTTTGGTTAGCTGTCTTCAGCTCTGTCACATCTCAGTCCCACTCGCGGCCCTCCCTCCCCTGCCGTCCCATCTTTGTTTTTTTTCTAGTTGGGTGTTTGAGAATTGGATTGGAATTGTGAGAAGAATTCTCAATTGGTTCTTGGGTATGCATGGGTTCCGAGTAAGTGTCTATGGTTAGGTCTTTGAAGAGCAGAGAACCTTGGTGAAGAGAAGGGTAATGGGAGAGAGCAGGGTGAACACAAACGGGGAAAGTGGGAGAAAGGTTCAAGTGCTGTGGACCTTGATTTATGGAGTGTAAGGCCTTTAGGAGCTTACTGATAAGTTTCTAAATCATTTTCAAACTGCACCTGTAAGACAGGTGGGGCTGATGACGTTCCTTTGCTTTATACTTGAGGAAAGACTTTGAAACACAGGTTATTTGCTTAAACAGGCAAAATTGAGACTAGAATCCAGGTTGAGTTCTGCATTCCTCTAGACCAGAAATTCTTAAACCTGGTTTTTGAATCAGAATTACCCAAGACACTTCTGTAAAAAATACAGATCCTCAGGACTCTCCCCGGAATTATGGATCTCTAGGGGTGGGCTTACAGAATTTGTAACCAGCTGCTGTTGAGAAACATGAGGCAGTCAGTTCTGTTGGAGCTGTTGACAACCGAAGCTGCTTTTTTGTGCTTAATCTGGTTGCTGGTGGCGAACTACACTTTGCAATTCCATTGAACAGGGTCTGTGTTGGTCTGAGTATCCCAGCAATATGGATGTGGGGGAACTAACTGGCACATAGATCTTTTTTTTTTTTTTAATTTATTTGACAGACAGAGATCACAAGTAGGCAAAGAGGCAGGCAGAGAGGAGGAAGCAGGCTTCCTGCTGAGCAAAGAGCCTGATGCAGGGCTCGATCCCAGGACCCTGGGATCATGACCTGAGCTGAAGGCAGAGGCTTTAACCCACTGAACCACCCAGGCGTCCCTGGCACATAGGTTTTTACTGGGAGTGTTCCCATTGCCTTTTATCCCTGCCCACAGGGTAGTCTTAATTACGTTTTGAGTATCCTCAGTGATAGATAGGGTAGAAGGATTGTATTGGGCTTGTCACTGCCCTAAAGAAGTCTTAATCCTGAGACCCAGCCATTTTAGCCTCCTTGATTTGATTATTTTACTGTACTTCTCTGTAGACTCTATGGGCCCTTCCTTTCTAAATCTTTGACGTAGAGAGAGATACTAAACCTGCCAGTGGTAGCAAAACTGAAGTTGGGGCTTGGGATCGGGGTGGAAACATAGGTATCATTAACTTTTGCCAGGCTCTGGAATGAGGAGGGAGTTTCCAGCCAGACTTTTTCTCGGTGGGTCTGATTCAGAAAGAGGAGTGGGTGGGTACTTAGTGTGGTATTTCCTGAGAGCAAGGATCCTCCCTCTGGGGCTGTTCTTTGTCTAGCTTCTGTGTCCCCTACCACCCTGGCACATCTCCCAGCCTTTTTGCACTGAAAGTCCTTAGTGTGTGATGGGTTGGGAGAGAAACTTACCTTGATTTTCCTTTTCTCCTAGATTTACGTATGATGATTATCAGCAAACGAGTAAATGGCTCCTGTGCCAAACCAAGCACCGACCTCAAGTGGCGATTATCTGTGGCTCTGGGCTAGGGAGTCTGGCCAATAAATTAACGGAGACCCAAAGCTTTGACTACAGCAAGATTCCAAACTTTCCCCAAAGTACAGGTGCTGGCAAGGCGGGGGTGAGGAATTGGACCAAGGGATACTGATGAGAAGGCGTGCTTCTTTCATGCCTGCACCTGCTTGGTCTCTACAGCATTTGACTAAGGACAGCTTGTTTAAGAGAGGGGGAAAAGAGGAACACCTAGGTGGCTCAGTTGGTTAAGCATCTTCCTTTGGTTCAGGTCATAATCCCAGCGTCCTGGGATCAAGTCCTGCATTAGGCTCCTTGCTCAGTGGGGAGCCTGCTTCTCCCTCTGCTTGCTGCTCCCCCTGCTTGTGCATGCACGCTCTCTCTCAATCTGTCTATCTTTAAAAAAGGGGGCGTGGTGGTGGAAAGAGACCACCATGAATCAGAGTGACTTTAGAAGGAAATCCCCCCCCCGCAAAAGAAATTTTGTAGTAGACAGGGCAGGTGTGTGGCAATGGTACCACATGATGACATATTTCCAGTGGTGTAATGATTCTGAATTTCATAAAGCTTTGCAGCATCTCACTCCAATGCTCATTATCCTCACACACTATGTAGTCACTGCATCTGCACAGCCCCTCTCATTTCTTTCAGTCTGCAGATTAAATGGAAAGAGTAGCGCTCTTAACCCCTAGGGACAGTCAGGGAAGCCCTGTCCTACGTCTTCCTACCGTTCCCAATCTCCCCAGCTCTAGCTCCTGTCCCAGGATAAGGCGCACACTGGTGCCCAATAATAAATGAACACAGTTTGCCATGTTCTTGTAGACAAAATACACAGATAATGCATGGATATGCAAGACCTGATTGACACTCACCCTTTGGAAGGGGAAAGGAGCTGATGTCCCCTATGCACGTGGAGCTCCGTGGGGTCTGAGGATGGCATATCCAGTACCTTAATAGCAGCTAGAAAACTCTAAGCCTACCCCTCAGAAAAGAGGCAGGTAGGGAGTACTTGTTGGGCTCATGGGTAGAGTATGCATCTCTTGGTCTCAGGGTTAGAACTTCGAATCCCCTGTTGGGGAAGAGTTTACTTAAAAAGGGTGGAAGCCATGCCTTCAATTTATGAGTAAGGAAGATAACAATTCGGGGTGACGCCCAAATCCTTACTGCTAATGTGGTATGGATTTTTGAGTGGGTAAAGATTGCACCTAAGGTGATGCACCTACTTTACAAGATGCCTGGGAGTCACCATCTGCTCCTGCTCGTCCCCTTTCACACTAAGAGTAGGCTCATATGAAAGTAATAAATGAGGCTGGGAAGTTCCTATTACTTGTAAGTAATAAACTGGATTAACCTTCTGGGTTTATGCCCCCCCCCCCCCCCCGCAAACTGTGGGCAACTCCTGGAGCGGCCACACACTTCCCTTCTCTACTCTCCCATGTTGGCCAAATCTCTTAATTTACCGACATTTTTCCATTTACTACCTATGAAACTCTGTTTTCACCTGTGGTTCATGAACTTTAGGTTAGTGACCTTAGCTGGTTCTCTGGGGGGAAAAAAGGAGGGGAGGGCGGATAGACCAGGTAAAATAAGGGCAAGAGTGGTTTATTTGGTTTACTTATTAATTCTCAGATGACTAATATCCATTGATTTGTTTACTCATGTTTTATTTTATTATTATTATTTTTAAAAGATTTTATTTATTTATTTGACAAGAGATCACAAGTAGGCAGAGAGGCAGGTAGAGAGAGTGGGGGAAGCAGGCTCCCTGCTGAGGAGAGAGCCCGATGCGGGTCTCCATCCCAGGACCCTGGGATCATGACCTGAGCAGAAGGTGGAGGTTTTAACCCACTGAGCCACCCAGGTGCCCCTTACTCATGTTTTAAATTCCTGTCTTCCTTCCCCTTTTCTCTAGGAGTTAAGACTTTGCACAGGTATTTTTCAAACCCTATGAAGCAAGATTGGGAGACCAGAGCAGGGAGATGGGTATGGGGGGGTTGGGGAAAACAAAGATTAAAAAGAGGGGGAGGGTAGGGCATCTGGGTGGCTCAGAGCCATGGACTCTGACTCCTGGTTTCAGCTCAGGTCTGATCTCAGAGTTGTGAGATGGAGCCCAGAATTCTGCTGGCTTTCAATGGGGGTTCTGCTTAAGACTCTATCCCTCTGACACCTCTGTGGTAGAGGCCTCTGTGCACCCTCTCTCTCAAATAAATCCTTAAAAAAAGAGAGAAGGAAGGCAAAGGGCAAAGTTTTCTAAGGGAGATGGCAATGACATTGGTTCCACCTGCCCTTCCCCCACCCACCCCAAGAAGTGATAAGTGGATTAATTTTTCTTTATCAACCTATTTTTTTATACTTTCCTTTCCTAGCTCTGTTATCTCTGCTCTATTACTGGCAGGTTTTACTTTTTTATAAGCTCTTCTGTCTCTGACCATCCATCAACTTTTCCTCTTGATTTTGGTCCCTCTTTCACACCACCCATTCCCTCCAGTCCATTAGAAGAGAAATGCCAGAGAAGGGAAATGGTAATAGTGGTTCTTATGTCTGTGTGGGGAGTTATTTGGCACTCCCACATCCCTGCAGGCCCCATTAGGGGCCTGTATTCCTACACGATGGTTTTATGGGTCATAATGGAGGTGACTTAGATGGGTCCAAACTCAGCCCATTTGCCTGCTGGTCAGTAGCCTCTTTAGGAAGCTAGAATATACCATGAATTCCCTTTCAAGAGTTAATTAAACCATGGTTTAGTTAGGGTAAGAAATAAGAAGAGGGGTACCTGGGTGTCGCATTCAGTTAAGCGTCTGCCTTCAGCTCAGGTCATGATCCCAGGATCCTGGGATTGAGCCCCACGTCAGGCTTCTTGCTCAGTGGGGAGTCTGCTTCTCCCTCTCCCTCTCTGCCTGCCGCTCCCCCTGCTTGTGCTCTCTCTCTCTCTCTCTCTGTCAAATGAATAAATAAAATCTTTTTTTTTTTTTAAGATTGTATTTATTTATTTGACACAGGGAGAGAGGTCACAAATAGGCAGAGCAGCAGGCAGGATAGAGGGGGATGCAGGCTCCCTGCTGAGCAGAGAGCCCGATGCGGGGCTCAATCCCAGGATCCTGAGATCACGACCTGAGCCGAAGGCAGAGGCTTAACCCACTGAGCCACCCAGGTGTCCCATGAATAAATAAAATCTTAAAAAAAGATAAGAATATACATTTTGAGAAGTTTAAAATTTTTGGAAAAGTAATGTGTAATGACTACATTTACTGCAATCAGTATTTCTCACTTACTCTTATTTTTTACTCACTTTCATTCTCTTGTGGTATGGCCTTCTTATCCTTTTGAAGTTTCTTTAAAAAAACCTCTCCTTCTTTCCCTTGCTACATGGTTCACATTGAACATCCTTACTCCCATAGACCCAATCTCAAGATGTATTTATATACTTATTTGTAGGCTTATGATTGATTTATTTCTGTCTCTGCCAGACTTCAGCTTTCTGAAAGCAGAGAGAAGAATGTTTTCTTCGGCTTAATTACATCCTCACATGTTGGGTGCAATGAGTTGGCTGGTAGTGGGTGCTCAGTGGATATGTATCCTATGAAGGCACACCCCATTCTTCTTTCTGTTTTGCATACAGTGCCAGGTCATGCTGGTCGACTGGTGTTTGGGTTCCTGAATGGCAAGGCCTGTGTGGTGATGCAAGGCAGATTCCACATGTACGAAGGCTACTCAATCTGGAAGGTAAGTCAGGTCAAAGCCTGGATGGATCTGGAAGGAGGGGGGAGAGAGTTCTTAATCCTATTTTATTACCTAGATTCCTGGGCTAGATAGGTTTTAGGCATTTCCTTTCTCTTCTTTCCTGATCTGTATCTTGCCTATCTGTGCGAGTGGGTTGGTGACATTGTTAAGAACACTTTATGATCTTTTGTCTTGTGCTTATAAGGTGACATTCCCAGTGAGGGTCTTCTACCTTATGGGTGTGGACACCCTAGTGGTCACCAATGCAGCTGGAGGACTCAACCCTGAGTTTGAGGTTGGAGATATCATGCTGATCCGTGATCACATCAACTTACCTGGCTTCTGTGGTATGAACCCTCTTATGGGGCCCAATGATGAAAGGTGTGTATCTTGCTTTGTAATTTTTTTATAGCTGGGTAGGGTTTAAGGATTTGTCTGGAAATCAGGAGAGGGCTCATGTGGTTCTAGGAATCTGAGATTCTAACCTGTGTCCTAGGTTTGGACTTCGTTTCCCTGCCATGTCCGATGCCTATGACCGGGATATGAGGCAGAGGGCTCACAGTGCCTGGAAACAGATGGGGGAGCAGAGAGAGCTAAAGGAAGGCACCTATGTGATGCTGGCAGGCCCCTCCTTTGAGACTGTGGCAGAGTGTTGGCTGCTGCAGAAGCTGGGGGCAGATGCTGTTGGTGAGCAGGGGAACTTTGGCTGGAGGCTTGAAGAGGGGAGGGGCGTGGTAAAAATAGGGATGGAAAGGGGTAAAAAATGATAGACCTCATTGGTAAATTGGGAGAGGATCTAACTTAAGGGAAGATTGAGTTAAACTGATTTGAAAGGTATTGAGATTTGGTGTCTTGTCAGCATTAAACCTCCCCACCCAGCACCTAGGGCTTTAACAGCCATAATGCTAATGACCCATCCATGTACCTCTGGCTGGAAGATGGAACCTCATCCTTAGAACTGACTTTAAAATAACCAGAAACAGATAGAGAAGTAATCGTAGTGTTTATAAGTGATGTGTAAGGCCCTCTGAGGCCCCACTCATTGAAGCAATACAGAACAACCTAAGCCAGACAGGAAATTAGCTGCTTCTCTGGATGATTTTTTGAGATACTAAATTGTCAGTGAGGTAACGAATGGAGATGAGGCCAGAGGGTGAGGAAAATAGTCCTTTGAGGATCCTGACGGTTGATTTCCTCTCTCTCCTCATCAGGCATGAGCACAGTACCAGAAGTTATAGTTGCAAGGCACTGTGGACTTCGAGTCTTTGGCTTCTCCCTCATCACTAACAAAGTCGTCTTGGATTATGAAACCAAGGGGAAGGCCAATCATGAGGAAGTACTGGAGGCCGGAAGACAAGCTGCAGAAAAATTGGAACAGTTTGTCTCTGTTCTTATGGCCAGTATTCCACCACCTGCCAAAGCCTGTGAGCCGGAGTGATCTGGCCTTTCCCTAATGGGATCCAAGTAGCTGCTGTCTACTTTGGTCCCTTGCTGGGGTCACGTGCCTCTGCCCTTCAGTAGTAGGAGAGAGGAGAGGAAGATCCCTGTCCTTCACCTTCGCCATTTCTCCCACCAGACCATTCTGCGCAGGCTTTTTTTCTCGTTATCGCAAATCATTTATCACTTCCCCATCTTCTTCAGGAGCTAGAGCCCAGCCCCTGCTGTGTCTATGGCGGGGGTGTGACTTGGGCTGTTGAACTTGGCACAGTAGCTACTGTTGTCCTTCTGATGTAATGCTTTCACATTCCTGGGGACTCAGTTCTGACTCCTCCAAAGCAGGAGAGCCCCCGTAAGGGCCAGCACAGTCCAATACCCCTAGGGCTTTTGTATTCCCATATTTTGAGAATAAAAAGAAAGATGAAATAATTCCTTCATTTTTGTGTGGTTTGGGATGAGGGTAGGGGCACAGGCCAAGTTTGGCATCAAAGGTTGAGATCCCATGTCTTGTGTGACTATCTGCTTCTAAGACAAGTGGCGAAGAACTGAGATGGGTGGTATGTGACTGCATGGAAGGATGAAGGAGAGCCAAGACTAAAAGAGATGTTAGAAGGTCAAGAAGGAAGGGCTAACATCTGGCACAAGACGGCCCCTTTCTTCAGACCAGTCTTGCCTCTGTCCTTTGCCTTCTGATTGCTTTATGCCCTGTCTACACTCTGATGAATATCTGAATTGCTTCACTGGTCTCAGCTGTTCCACAGTTGGCTGTTTTCTTCTTACTCCCTGATGATATTTCTTGTTGGTTTCTTTCTCTCCCTTACCCTAACTTCTGCCATAATTAATGGCAACCCTACATTCCCTCTCTGCATTCTGGCAAGGCTGTGGCAAATACCTCTTTCTCTGCTACCAGTCATCCCGCTGCAGGTTCGAGTCCTGCCAGCGCCAGGCAAACCTGTGAAGTTAGCTCATACTTCACTTCTCTCTGAGCACCTCCTTCTCTCCTGTTGCTTCCTTCCTGGGTTCTAATCTTTCTCTTCACTTTTGCTTGCTCAGAACACCCCAGTGACCCAACATCCAGGCATTTGCTGGTTCATTGCACTATTCTGTGCACTCACCAGTTTGCATTCAGCTGGCCGGTGAGTTGCAAAACCACGCTACTCTCCCAGACCTCTTTGCCTTTTGAGGAAAGGTAGAGTTGGATGAGCCACTAATAGTAGTGATATGTCAGTTGTCCATTAAAAACTTTTAAAGCCTCTCAAATCATCCTTTGTTTGGTAACTGACCTACCTACCTGAACCCAGCACAAAGAAAATGTATCCTGGAATGGCCCTGTTCCCACTATCTATCTCATCTATTTTTTGTACATCCACTGGCTCTAAAACCCTGCCTGGACCTTCAGGCACTCTGCTGGTATATGCCACGTGCCCGTGAGAGAGCTGGTTTAGAGGCAAGTACTGTGTGTCCTTCAGATACGTATGTTACTGTAACTTGTTCATCTAATGAGATGGTTCATAAACATTTTTTATCAAGTTAGTGATTTATAACACCCTCAGCCAAGAAAATATTAAATTAAAAATATAAAAGTCCTCTTAACTGCCCTTCAATCTTAAGAGAGATGCATTTGTGAAACCATTAACTGTTAATACAAGATGATGTAAAATGTGTACAAGTTACATAAAATGGGAGCCCAAAGGATAGACCAGTTGTATACTCTGGACCTTAAGGATTGGGTTGTTTCATGAAAACTTTGAGTTTAGCCCTAAAGGATGGAAGGGAGGAAAAGGTTTTCATAATCAGGTGAGCCAAAGCACAGAGTTATAAAAAGTACTAGACATGTTCATGGGTCATTGTCAAACAAGTGTAATGAGGACAGAGGACATGAGGGTTCTAATGAGACATGGGCAAACATACTTGGAGGTTAGAAAGGGAAAGCATTTGTTGCTTGGCTTTCCTACCCCTGATCTGCCTCATGGTGAGACGGCTTGGGAATGAGAATGGTGCCATCTAAAAAATAGGTCCCAGAGAGATTCAAATGGAATTGTTAGACACACCTTTAGCCTTTTAGATGTAGTGGATGGGTTTGCCCATTTACCCTGTAAAGGGTGTCATGTATTTAATGATAAAATACTAGATTCAAGGGCTTCTGGGTGGCTTAGTCGATGAAGTGTCTGCCTTCTGGCTCAGGTTGTGATCCCAGGGTCCTGGGATCCACCCTCCCTCCCTGTTCCCAGGCTCCCTGCTCATGGGGGAGCCTGCTTCTCCCTCCCTCTGCACCCCTCCCCCACTCTCTCAGATAAATAAAATCCTTTTTTTTTTTTAAAGATTTTATTTATTTATTTGACAGAGATTACAAGCAGAGAGGCAGGCAGAGAGAGTGGGAAGCAGGCTCCCTGCTGAACAGAGAGCCCAACATGGGGCTCAATCCCAGGACCCTGAGATCAGAACCCGAGCCAAAGACAGGCTTAACCCACTGAGCCACCCAGGCACCCAGATAAGTAAAATTTTAAAAGAAGAATAAAAGCAGCTTTATTAATTTATGTATAATAACATTCATCCATTTAAAGTAAATAATTCATTGGCATTTAGTATTTTCACAGGTCAGTATAATCATCCCCACAGGAAATTAAAGAATATTTTAAGCAACTCAGAAGGAAACCTTATACCTTTTAGCTACTATGCCCTCAACACTCCCTAACCCAAGCAACCATTAGTCTAGTTTCTGCTCTATAGATAGAATTATCTTGGACCTTTATATGAAGGGAATTGTATATAGATTCATGTGGACTTTGTATCTGGCTTCTTTCACTTAGCATGTTTTCTAGGTTCTTCTGGGTTACAGCCTTTATCAGTACCTCGTTTCTTTTTATAACCAAGGAATAGTCCATTGCATGGGTACACTGCATTTTATCAAGTATCTTCAAAGTGCCAACCAACTCAACCCAAACTGAATGGATCAGTTTAGGTGAGCAAGAGAATAAAGGAAAAGTGAAGGAAGATAGGTCTGGGAAGAGAACCCAGAGAACGGTAGTTCTCAAAAACAGTCTGTGAGGACGCCTGGGTGGCTCAGTTGGTTGGACGACTGCCTTCGGCTCAGGTCATGATCCCGGGGTCCCGGGATCGAGTCCCACATCGGGCTCCCAGCTCCATGGGGAGTCTGCTTCTCCCTCTGACCTTCTCCTCGCTCATGGTCTCTCTCTGTCTCTTTCTCAAATAAATAAATAAAATCTTTAAAAAAAAAAAAGAAAAAAAAAACAGTCTGTGATGAGACTATTGCTCTCTAGAGGTGCCTGCAAAATAGATTTAAAAGAAAAAGATTTTATTTATTTGAGAGACAGAGCACAAGCAAGGGAAAGCTGAGGGGCAAAGGGAGAAACAGACACGGGGCTCAATCCCAGGGTCCTGAGATCATGACCTGAATGGAAGGCAGATGCTTAACTGATTGAGCCACCTAGGCGCCCCCCCAAAATTGATTTTCTTTGATCTCAGGAGAGGTGTCAAAACATACATTTCAAGGCAGGCTTTTCTGCCCTGGCCATATCATGGTCACCTTTATCAACACCAATAATGTTTATTAATCATGTACTTTGTACAGAACATTGTCCTACAAACCATGAAATAAATTGTCAAAAGGACAAAGGGCTTCCAATCTAAATGGGATATTGGATACGTGGGTTAAAGAAAAGCTGAATCAGTTGTGCCCTCTACACCTACTTTTAGTCTTTTCCTATGATGTCACTATTTGGAAAATTTTTGAAAAAGGAATAATGTGTGAAAAGTAGCCTGTGCTAAGTGCCAATGATAAAAGGTACTACAGGGATTCAAAGAGAACCAGCATGGGATGAGGAGTGGGAAGGGGAAGCGAGACTTAAGTTAGGCCCTACAGGAAAAACAGGTGAAGAGGGTATTGCGGAAGGCACTCCATGAAGGTAGATTGAAGAATGTTTGATCACTGAACAGAACAAAATGGCAAAATCAAAGAAACCATGAGTGGGAACAGTGGGAGATAAGTGAACAAGGCTAGATTGTTCAGGGGTCTAATCCCAGGCTAAGGAGTGAAAATCTTCATTTAGGCAAAAAAAAAAAAAAAAAAAAAGGCTTTTTAAGTAGGGACTGATGGGTGAAAATCATGCTACTGTTCTGATGGACAGATGCCAAACTGGAAGCAGAAAGGTCTGTTTTGATGGTAGAAAGAACTTCCACCCCAAACTCGCGGAATACAATAGCATCACGGGTGGCATTAAGTATTTAACCAGGTTGGTCCTTTGTAGTGCTTAAAAGACTACACTGTTATAAAATAAAATGTAAAGGAAAAGTGCAAGCAATTTAGCAATGAAAATATACACTTAAGTCAAATTAGTGGTTTTCATTTTTTTTAGATTAAAACTTTGAGCACATAGTTAAAAACTTAAGCAACATAAGATGCATACAGTGAGGGGCCCCTGGGTGGCTCTGTCATTAAGCATCTGCCTTTGGCTTCGGTCATGATCCCAGGCTCCTGGAAGCCGGGAGCCTGCTTCTACCTCTATCACTCCCTCTGCTTGCGTTCCCTCTCAGTGTCTCTCTCTCTCTGTGTCACATCAATAAATAAAAATCTAAAAAAAAAGTTGCCTACAGTGAAGTTTCACTTGCATCCTGTCCTCCATCTGCCTTTCCTTCCCCACCCCGCTGGTAACCACTTAATAGTTTCTCATGCATTCTTCCAGGATTTATAAAAAATATAAGCAAATGTAAATATATGTTCTCATTTTTACCTCTTATTATCCATGGAAGTTAATAGGTTATATATATTGTCCTGCATCTTGCTATTTTCTCTCTTCGTTCTCTTTTTTTTTTTTTTTTTTTTAAAGATTTTATTTATTTATTTGACAGAGAGATTACAAGCAGGCAGAGAGGCAGGCAGAGAGAGAGGAGGAAGCAGGCTCCCCGCTGAGCAGAGAGCCCGATGCGGGGCTCGATCCCAGGACTCTGAGATCATGACCTGAGCCGAAGGCAGCGGCTTAACCCACTGAGCCACCCAGGTGCCCCTCTTCGTTCTCTTTTAAGATTTTATTTATTTGAGAGAGAGAGAGATTGCTGTTTTCTTTTGTGTCTTGAGATGTTTTGCATGTACCATACACGTATCAGTGTGCTTTTTTGATGACTAGGTCAGCACTGTCAAGAATACATGTCTGTCACCTCAAGTTTTTTT